AAAGTAGAGAATATCAAGAAGTTGTTTACCTGTGTTTTATTGACTATGCAAAACATTCAGTTGTGTAGATCATAATAAATTATGGATAACATTGCGAAGAATGGGAACACCAGAACACTTAATTATGCTCATGAGGAACTGTATGTTGATCTAAAGGCAGTCATTAGAACAGAACATTTGAGATAATGCATGGTTTTAAATCAGAAAAAGTGTACATCAGGGTTCCATTCTTTCACCATATTTATTCAATTTGTATGCTGAGCAAACAATCCAAGAATTGAACTATATAAAGAAGAACACAGTATCAGGACTGGAGGAAGACTCATTAACAACCTGCAATATGCAGATGACACAACCTTGCTTAATGAAAATGAAGAAGACTTGAAGCACTTACTGATGAAGAGCAAAGACTACAGCCTTCAGTATGGATTACACCTCAACATAAAGAAAATAAAAATCCTCACAACTGGACCAATGAGCAACATCGTGTTAAATGGAGAGAAGATCAAATGATTTCATTCTACTTGGATCCACAATCAATGCTCATGAAAGCAGCAGTCAAGAAATCAAATGATGTGTTGCATTGGGTAGATATGCTGCAAAAGACATCTTTAAAGTGTTAAAGAGCAATGATGTCACTTTGAAGACTAAGATGTACCTGGCCCAAGCCATGATATTTTCAGTAGTCTCATATACATGTGAGAGCTGGGTAATGAATAAGGAAGACCACAGAGGAACTGATGCATTTGAATTGTGGTGTTGTTGAAGAATATTGATTGTGCCATGGACTTCTGGAGGAATGAGCACATCTGTCTTGGAAGAAGTTCAACCAGAATTCTCCTTAGAAGCATGAATGGTTAGACTTTGCCTCTCATACTTTGGCCATGTTCTCAGAAGGAACCAATCCCTAGAGAAGGATGTAATGTTTGGTAGAGTAGAAGGTCAGCAAAAAAGGAGAAGAACCTCAAAGAAATGAATTGACACATTGGTTGTGAAGATGGGTGGTAGCATGGCAACAATTGTGAGGATGGTGCAGGATGTTGTACATAGGGTTGCTATGTGCCAGAACCAGCTCAATGGGACCTAACAACAATAACAGTCTTCACTGAAACAAACTACCACATCTTTTTTTCCCCCAGAGCGGCTGGTGGGTTTGAATTGCCAACCTGCCGGCTAGCAGCCAAGGGGTAGAGATTGGCAAATCTTTTTTTTTTTTTTTCTCTAACATTGTTGATCAAAATTTATTTTCTACTACTGGTAATCAAGGAAAGTTTTCTTTCAGCTTTGCAACATATTTATGGGTAATAGTCAATAAACTTTCAAGATAATTGTCAAATTTGGGAAAATATTTATTAACTTTCCTTAAAA